TGGTCTATAACTTACAGTATGGACCTTGGTTAGCAAGAGAAGGAATTGTATATTTGAACTACACACACCCTCAATCATCATCCATGTAAAAATACCTTGATTAGCATCAAATTTCCTGAAGCATACATTTGAGATATCAGGAAAGGACTCAGATTCTACATATTTTGAGAGCCTATGTTTACCTTCAAACCCTTCTCTAGGATTTCTTCAGCTTTGGCACCTCGCACAGTGCAGTGTACAGCAATCTTCTCATTACGACGAATGCCAAATGAACGCACAGTGTAGCGGGCTATGAAGAAAATCAGGCTTTTTAAAAAATCATACAGAGAAATTGTATGGCATGGAAACAACTACTGTGTTTGACTAACATTTGATCAATTGTTCCTGTGAAAAGGCAGCAACAAACACATGTTACTTGTGATCCCTTTGCGGCAACTAAGGTGTAGTAAACATTGATGATAGATGAAAAGTGCTTTTTTATGAACCAATTCACTTTGATAAAGCCCTCAAGAACTTATTACACTAAAAGTATGTTGTAACGGAAGGAATGCTTTCAGATAGATTGTTGTAAAAGGAAAAATGGGTAACTACAGTAACCAATAAGAAGAAAAGTAACTATCTCAAGGAGACAGGTAGACACACATAAACAGCCTAAAAAAAGCGAAAGCATGATTTGGCGTAATAATGGTTTTTGCATCTAATTGGTTAAGAGAGAGTGAAAGGCACACATTTCCTTCACAAAGCATAGAGTGAAGCAAAGCTTAGAGTGTGAAGAGTGAAGAATGAATAGCAGAAAGAAGGTAGAGTAAAGCAGAGGAGAGTGAAGCTAGGCAAAGAAACCAACAAATAGAATGATTTTCAATTGGGTGATGTAAAAGCAAACTCAATGTACATAAAACAGCCAATCATAGGAAGGAAAATATCACAAGTAGCCAATGAGAACTCAAAGTAAAATCAAGCAAACTGTCTAAAGGGCAGGGAGAGTGAGTTACCAAGTCACCATTGATTGGTTGAGAAAGTGACGCTAGTTTTCTAGACCAATCACATAACAAAATAGTGAAAAAAAACAAAGCTATCCTGAAGTACTTTCCATGCTCAATTGAGAATTGATCTAAACAACAGCATAATCTAACATCACAATTAACATCACACAAAAAATTACTAAATCACAATGAGAAAAATAAATTACCTTTAGAATAAACTGGCTGCTGCCCAGTCAGCTGTTCAAGAACCTTTGCAGCTCTTGTCAGACGATCACCACTTTCACCAACACAGATGTTTAAGCACAGCTTACGGATACGGAGGTCTCGCATGACATTTTGCTTCTGGGAATTTTCCCCCGACTGAGTAAAAATAAGATAATAACATCAACTACTGCAAGTCTTTGTTGTAATGATTTTGGTGCTGTGTAGAATCTTTCTACAAGAAATGGTGGAAAGTTTAGACTAGAAAAGGTTTAACTTTGCATCTTGATTTTCTTCATAAAGATTCATTCACATTTCCATGTCAATTAGTTTCAAGAATTAAGTGTTAGATCAAGATGACAACTTCTACCTGATGAGTTTTAGTATTCTCATTACTTGTTTACTGAATAATGTATGGATATGGTAGGAAGAAGTTACATGTTAATCACATCTGAGAGTTAAGAGTTTAAATAAACAGCAACAACTGGTACAGGATTTTCTCAAAATATGAGTAAAATTGTACAACAAAAATTGACTAAGCCATCAGCACATGGCTCACATAAGGCTGCGAATTTTTTTGGATAATTATACTGAGAAGGTTCTTGGCAGAGGAATGCAATTGTTGACTTAAAAATTTATTTGACAAAGTTGATGACGAACAAAAGCACAAATCCATGATGAAATAAACTTAACCTGGACCGAGTTGTTTTGAAAGTATAAAGAGTAAACGAATTTAAATGAATAGTGCAGATTAACAGCCTCAGTGAACTCTTGCTTCTCTGATTCACTCGGGGAAATTAAGAAAAGCATTTAACAATCGGTAATCAAAGTCATTAATTAATCTTTGTTCTTCGTTTAAATTGGACTTGTACAAACCAAAAAAATCATAACTGGACCTATGAGAAAAATGCCTTATTTGATCTACGTAAGATCGCCCGCAAAATTGACCAAAGATTCGAAATGAACCACCCAGCAGAACTGCATGCCTCTGTCTAAACTCCAATGTCGGCGGGCTAGTTTCGATTGGCTGCTTACAGCTAAAACAGTTCCTTCTTTAAAAAGGAATCAAGGAATAACCCGCGACGAATTGTACTTTTTATGCATATTCAGTAGTGTTTAGAGTTAATGTTAGGAAATAAGTGACCTATAAAGGGGGAAGAAGGTTTTAAATTGCACCACAATCCAGTCTAAAAACACCGACAGGCTTGGCTCAAGAGGCTAAATTCAACAAATTTAATCAGTACCGATTTATCACGAAGATCACGATATATCTACTGAAAAATACTTTAAGCCATATCTGGAAGGTTAAAGGAAGCACCAGATACAAGAAATATAGCAGGATCGGGTTGAGGAAACTGAATTCAAAGGGGCGAAATATACTTTAATTTGGCCACGTGAATTTCGAGACCTACCGCCATATTGCCCAGAATAAAAGAGGGCGCTTAAGGCATCACGGGAAATGACGTAAACTCCAAGTAACGCCTGGCGATAATTGACTTTTGGCATCTCTCTCTCTAGTCCTAGCCCTGGCTCAAGAGGGAAATGTTTGAAAGATTGTGCTTTTAAAGAAACAAACAAACAAAAAAAAGTAACAAAAAAAGAAAAAAAGAAAGAAGAGGGAAAACAAGCTCCCACGGGGCTGTAACCTCATTTTTTTCCTGAAATGGTGCCAAAAGTAAGGCTATTTTATTTTTCAAATAAGGAAGTTTTATTGTAAGGCAATTTGGTCGTCACTACGGGCGTTTGTCACCGCTTCTATCTTCAGGCAAAAATGCAAAAATCTTGCTCAGATTAATGAATTCCTCTCTCGTAAGATCTCTAAGGTTCTAAGGTTAATGGGCAAGGTTATTAACTTTTAAGAAATTGCTATAATTATACAGCTGACAAGTGAAACACTTACAAAATGGGGAGCCTTGATAAATTGTGACATAAAACTGGATTCGAACTCTGATCGCTTTTCGTCATGTGTTAGTTGCAGCAGTTTTTAAGTCAGTTCCAATTTTTAACCAAATATTACTTTTTCTATTTAGCTGATATACTTTTCCAGATGTAAGCCCACCTAAAATTCCTCGCGACACACGTTTTACAATCCCAAGGCCTATTTATAACCTTCTATTTTTGGCACTCGGTCGGCAAAAACGAGCGAAATGGCGGGGCAAATTTCAATACAGCCGTTTTCTAGGTTTCTCTCTTTTTCGATGTGTTTCAAAGACGAGGCTAATAAACCACACGTAAGATTTACTCCAATACGAAAGTGAACATAACTATCTCAGAGTACTTTACTTTATTTCTCATAATCCATCTGTACATTACGAATAAATGTAACTCAATCTGATGGGCACCTTCTGCCTTTGAACATGGACAATTCTGGAGGACAAGAGAACTTGTTCAAGTACGTAAACTTCGAGAGTCTCAGTCCTCAAGCTTCAAGTAGAATGTGTTTTTTTAAAGAAATAAGTGATAAATTCTTATTTCCTTTTACATTTAGAGGGCATTTCAATTGAGTGTCACAAAACGAAAAAAACGAGAGCAACGGCTAATGAGAGCAGTGGAAATTTTCACAAGGAGCCCTTGAGAACTCTAAATAGAAACAAGACGCCAAACTAACAAGACGCCATTTTACATTAAATGGGAAGATGGAGCGGGTTTCTCGAACAAACCAAGTCCGTATTGAAGCAGACCAGAGCTATCCCAGAACACTTTTGACATTGAATTAACCAACTACGCCAAGACACTTACCCGCCATCAACTGCGCCTTGTTTTGGGCGCAAAAAGCGATGGTTTGGAGTAAAAAAAAACCCCTTGGAAACCCACAAGTCGCTACCAGGCCAATCTTCGCGTTGACAAAGTGGGAGTGCCTAGAAGCAGGTCGTTATTCAAACTTTCTACGGTGACAGATTTACGTTATTAACACAGTTGATAGTACTACATTACCCCTTTATGAGATAGCAGTTGAACTCTTTCACTCCCAAGAGTGACCAAAGAGAATTTTCTCCTTACAGTACCAATACATTTTCATCAGAAAGGCAATGAGAAGATAGAAAAATACCAGTCCAGGAATGTTGCTTGATTTGATTCCAAATTCACTATGCTAAAATTATGAGAAATATATGCAAACAGTGCAGAGAATTTATATTTTGATCTTGGGAGTGAAAGGGTTTTATTACTTAATATAAAGCTCTATGTTGTTGAAGTTGGTTAGAACGACTTGCTAGTGTAATATATGATATGGTATTTGAAACGAAACAGCTATTAAAAAAAATTTTGTATTGTTGAGGCTGGTTGACTATTGATTATTTTCTTGACCCACTCGCATGAGCGGCTGCGCCTTGTTGGAACTGACGCATCATGGACTGGAGGCCCTGGGTTCCGCCTGAAAATGAAATCAAACTGTCAGCGAAAACAACAAAAGCGAAATTTATCATACACTAATAAAAGGGGTAGCGTGATCTTAGACCTATCATCCTGTAAATATCTGCGAAAGCAGAATTTGGCAACCGTCGGGCTCAATAAAAAGCTTCGTTTCCCTGTGTGTATCACCGCCATTTGTGCCTTATTTTTGACAAAGCTACAACAGTTTAATTGTCGGTGTAACTGTGATGTAACTGGAGAAGAGAGTTTCACTGCAAAAGACATGTCTTCATACAAAGAAATTTGTTGAAAAATTCTGGTTGATCGCACTGAACACGCACCCATTTGTTGGAGGACCCTGGGGTCCATCATCTTGGCCATCTGTTGATTGAGTTTGGCCATCTGCGACGGATTCACATTTTTGCTCATGTCACCTCCTGAAATGTAAAAAAAAAAAAAAGAAAGTAATTTTTGTTTGCCCTTTGGCTTACCTCAAGTATGTACTCTTGTCAGTTCACGAAAAAATATGCACAATGGTTTTTGATCACGGGTACCAATCAGAACAGAGGAAATATCACAAGGAGCCAATCAGAACTCAAAGGAACCGAAGTGAACTCTTTCAAGGGTGGGAAAACGCGCAAATCACAAAATTGATAAAGCAAAGCAGTTAATTTTCGTAAAAAAGGCGAAGTTACCTTTAAATAAGCCCTTTATTCCACCCATTTTCTTCACCATTGCAGCAAATTTGGTGTACTGTGACAAGAGCTCTTGCACCTCTCGGACAGACACGCCGCTGCCACGTGCTACCCGCGTGGAACGCCCCGGTTGGCGGGAAAACAGCTTTGCGCCATTGGGACTATCAAGTTCTGAAAATGAAAAGAGTCGTCGTATTTTAACACGAAAATTAAAAGTTTCAGTAAATAAACCTTCTTTTTATTCAGCACTGCATTGTACAATCCTACTGAATACTATAGCACGCGCGGTTTGAAATTGTAGCTTTTCTGTGTGAGGCCAAACCTTACTAGCGTAGTAATCTAAGAGATCTATCACCTTTTTATTTTTATGTTCGGAAGTAACTTCCTCCAGGGTCCTCCATGGTCATTCTACGGGATGTCACGCAAGGAGCATTGCATGACACCCCTACGAAGACTACCTTTTCTCAGGCAAAATAAATACAGAGCCATGCCCCTGGTGGAATAAGAAACGATCCCCTAGAACTCGAACATAGCAGTAACAGAAATTTTACCTTCATCATTCATGCTGTCCATAATGGTCATTAGCTTTTTTAATCTCGCCATTGACTCCTGTTCATTTCCTTTTGATAAGAAGTCACTACTGAACCCAGGTATCATACCCTAAAAAAACAACAAAAACAAAGAAACAAAAATTAATAGAAACATTTCAGTAATTGCACGGGTTAAATTTGAAACAAGAGTCAGATTTAATTTCATTGGTGTTAACAACTAAAACAGCTTGAGCACTGTCTCCTTTGCTATCCTGCTTCAGACTACTGTTTAAAGAATAGGGCCATAAATACGAATATCCGAAAGCTGCTTACCATGATTTGGCCAAATGGCCCCATCTTCATGATGTTCTGGAACTGTTCATACATATCTCGTAAACTGAAAACACCTACATAAATAAAAGATTAGGCCACATGAATTGCCACTTACATTAATTTTATTACTATGACCAGTAGATCATTGTCTTTAAAACCTAGTAAATAGATATGTCATTACTATCTGTTTAGGAGTTCTCACCATGTTTGAGCTTGTCAATAAGTTCTTCATTGTCTTCAAGCTTCAATTCGTTGACTTTATCAATCAGTCCTTCGATGTCTCCCATTCCTAAAGAAGACACAAGAAGAGAGCACTTAGTTCGGATTACAGGGTAATTTAGCTTTATCAACTCAGTTGATAGCGTAAATTGGCGACTGTTAAAGAGTCTTAAAGCTGATGTTTCAAGCTTAAGCTCTTTGTTAATTCACATTAGTCTACCTTTGAATAAACACAGAGTTGTTACTTGACCCTTCCATCCCTAAATGATTAGCATCTAATTTCTCCTTACAATTTCAACTCTGAATCACACATTAAGGGCACAAGAATAAAGGAAATGATCACCAACTAAAGAAGCTCTTGATTGTTAAAAAATTCTCCTTATCAGCACCTTCAGAAACTTATAGAGAACTGTATGGAGAATATGTATACTGATGTTTAGGTTGTAAAGTGTAAGAGTAAATGATAAAGCACTGGGTTTTTATAGAATTTCAATCCAATGTATTGTGTACCAACTGATATTAATAGTAGATTAATCTGTATTAAAACCTACCCAACAGTTTACTGATAAATGGTCTTGTCTTGAATGGTTCAAAATCATCAATATGTTCCCCAGTGCCAATAAAAATGATGGGACTCTTGGTGGCAGCCACTCTGTGATGACAAAAAAACTACAATTTATATCAAACAAAACTGAGTGGAGTGTTGGGAGAAAAATATGTGGCAATGTGAATTTTAAGACAATTTATGGTGATTTTTACAAAAGTAGTTGTGAGAACATAAGATAGTCCTGAAATAGATTGATAGTAGTATTTACAAATTGCAGTGACTGATGTTCTGACAAACAGACCAAAGGTCATCACAAGAGTCATGGCTGAATCACAGCCAGAAGTGTTTTTTGTTTTGTTTTGTTTTGTTTTGTTTTGTTTTTAAAGTTTAGTTAATATTAGTAACAAATCAAGCAAATAAATGATCCTCACAGGTGGACTTCCAGAGAGGTGGCACCAATTTGAATCCTGAAATTTAAGCCTGATTTTTTTCAGACTTCTTTCCTACAACTACAAAAGATTCATGCCACCTGCAAGGATAATTTCTAGCTTGATTTTCATCCATAGGTCAAATGGCATTTAATTCATTACAAGGTGTTATTGGTAACAAAGGGAAAAATTTAGTTGCAGACTGGAAAAAAAAAAACCTTTGACTCAAGACAAGAAGTGAAGGTAAGACCTTAATTTCCAAAAAGACAGACCGGTAATACTTACGCACTCAATGCACCACCACCTTTTGCATGGCCATCTAACTTAGTAACAATAACTGAAGCAACATCGACTTTCTCTTTGAATGCCTTTGCCTAAAGAAGTAAATAACACAAAAATTAAAGTAAACCACCTTTGAGGCTTGCAGCAATATAAGCTAAAAGAAATTCCAGTGAATGAGGCTGATTCATCATATTTACCTGAGCCTCACAAGCCTGTCCAATCGTGGCATCCATTACAAATATAACATTGTCTGGGTCCTGTGTGGGACAAAAAATAAAAAAAGAAAAGTCAATGTACAATGTTTGTTGTACAAATCCATACTGTCCAAATACAACAATTTGTTCTGAAAACAAGCACAATGAAGTAAGCACTTACAACAGCATTAGACACTTGAAGCATTTCCTCAAAAAGTGATTCTTCTTGTTTGTGTCTTCCACTAGAGAAGAAAATGTCAAAATGAATGTGAATTGACTAATCATCCTACATAGACTTCAGATCCTTAGAGTAACAGTAAATTAAAGGGTGCATGTAGAATATATGCATTGTAAAGGCAAAACATCAAATGTGATGTAAGCAAAAAGCATAGTCAGGGTTTTCAGTAAGTGCTGGCAACTTGCAATATTTGCGGTCTATTTCTGATCAGAGGTTCTTCCTATTCACAATGATTAAGATATTAACCCAGATTTTACCATTACAGCTGATGAAGCTTTTGGTCCAAGAATAAGTTGGAGCTTTAAATCTGCCACAATTTATTCTTGATAACGAAAGAAACTTGCTAGAATTCTGAGAAAATCACCTGAGACTCTGGGAATGAGGTTGATCCAGGAGTAATTTCAGTAGCTATCAATTTTCTTTGTTTTTGTTCTTTGTTTGAAAATTTTGTGTTTAGCAGCCTTTTATTTACACTGATAATTCTTCTCTGCCTGCTCCTAAACCTCTTCATCCAACTCTCATCCTTTCTGAAAACTCTTATACTGTTAGCTGAATTTTGTCCATAGTACCACTTTCTCTCTGATGATACCATAATCTCTTTCTTTTTTTTAAGCCCTTTACATCCTAACATCAGAATGCATATTCTCCATACTACTCTCTAGACATTTCCTAAGGTTCTGACAAGGAGAATTTGTTCAACAATCAAGAGCTTCTTTGGATGATGATCATTTCCTTTATTCTCATGACCTTAATGTTTGATTCAGGAGTGATGCTGTAAGGAGAAATTACATGTTAGTCACTCTTTAGAGGTTTAGGGTTAATACTACACTCACCTTGTATCTACAATGATTATTTCAAAGTTCTCTTGTTTAAATTTATCAACACCTTCTTGAGCAATAACAACAGGGTCCATTTCGGTGTAACTAGAAGAAAACAAAAAAATGATCATGGTAACATTGGAATTCATTGTGGATGAGAAATATTTATTGGGAGCTACTTTCAGTACATTTTATACAACTTGGCTGTTCTTACCTCCCATAAAATGGTATTCTTGCTTTAGTAGCATTTTGTTTGAGTTGGTCAAAAGCACCTGAAGAAAGAAAATCAGACCAAGTACTTAAAACAAGAGGCCTTGGCAAACACAGAGCATCTGACACACTCAGGTGTTCTTAACTTTTTCATTCCCAGAAGTGATTGACCTGTAACTTCTCCTCACAATTCTGATGAGTTATCTTGTAAAAAGGTTATAAGAAAAGAAAAGCTAATCACCAGGAGTTTCCTATTTTGTAACAGGACCAAATTCTCATGTCTAATTTACAAGGAAAAGTACAGCAGTAAGGAGAATTACTACATGGATCTTGATGGTAAAAAGGTTTGAGGATGTACTTCTAAATAAGATATTCTATAATTCTCAATAGATGAGATTGTGCACATTTTCATAGTCACCTGTCTAGAGAGTAATCTTACAGGTACTGTACTGAAATATGAGTTTCTTTGTTGCCATGTCTTACCTGCACGAAATGTATCTGCACAGATTAGGCAAGTCTTCCATCCTTTACGCTGATAGTAATATGCTAGCTGTATGAAAAGTAAAAACAACATAAAGTGAAATTCATTGTGCAAATGAAAGCCAACTTCAAAACTTGATGAGTATAAATGGATGAGGAGAACTAACCTTACTACATGTTGTTGTCTTTCCACTTCCTTGCAGACCAACAAACATGATTACATTTTGTTTTCCCTTGCTTGGATTCCACTGTTTAACACCAGGATCAACAAGCTGTTCACAGGTGGACAAAAAAATGTTTACCTTACTATGATTATGGTTTAATGTCCACTATTCTAAAGAGCTGGGAGCTTAATTACTTTCGACCCACTGACAGTGACAGGAAGGCAAACAAATTCACCTTGTTCTTTTACAAGGGATGGATACAAAATGTACAAAGTAATGAAATGCACATGCAAAGCTGTAGTTTCACATTTTACAATCTTGTCACCATCATCATTGTGGTTTTCTTTAGTCCCAACTAAAAGTTTTTGAAAAGCCTCACTCTTGAAAAAAAAAACCCAACAAACAGAAAAAAACAACAAATAAACAAACATTAAATTTTTAGGTGATATAGCATTTTAAAGTTAATAAAATGTCTTATGTTAGCCAAAGTGATCAAAAGAACACCTTTACAATGAAATACTTTTCTACCAAAATAAGAAAAGTAAAAAAAAAGCCAAACTGTTACAGACCTTGCACAGCTCCTGGAATACAGCATGTTGAATCATCCTTCTTTTGTTTAAACCACCAGCCATGTCGTCAAAATCAATAGCAGATCTAAACAAGGAGTACAGGGTAGAGACAAAATTTACAGTTACTGGTTAAATAATATATAGATTAGCCAAGCCTAAAAGTGGAGCTTGCATTTTTTTCCCACACGTCTCAAGGGCTCAACGCCTTGCCCCAGCCAGGACTAAAACCCAGGTCGTCCGACTCGAAGCTCAGTGCACTGACCACTAGACTACTGGACAAAGCCGTGGTGTTGGTGTGCCTGTGGTACAGTTGACCATGCATGTTAAAAGTAGCATCTTGTATGGTTGGTTGTACGGTCGTACAGTCGTACATCCAAATTTTTTCGGCTTGATAGGTTACTACTGTTATGGGGCTATGCTCTGTGAGCTCCACTATTATGGTATCTAACACTTTTTGATTATTATCAAAACTATAATAAAATTCTTTAATGTGATTGGTTATCACCAGTTCAATTTGAGCACTAATAGAACAGTGTATGTGCCATGCTTGGAATTGGACAGTGCATGCATCCTGTTTAATATGTACATGTAATTTCACAAAAGTCATGTGCATGCCCTCTTGGCAAATTTTGCTGAGCTGAGTATTGCTGTTGTTGTTTTTTTTAATAAGAAAATAAAAAGCCAGCGGTAAAAATTATTCCTAAAATTTTGATTAATTGGTAACAAGACTTTGCGCTGTCCAATTAACAAATTGGACTCACCCTTTGTTGCTCTCAGTTTTTGTTAATCATTACTATTATTACAGACTGAACTGGACTCATCTAAGTCCTATTACTAATGTAAGTTCTAAGTACGACATTTTTTTGTGTTGGATTCTTTGTGTGTTTGAAATTCATTATTTAAGTCTTTTCAGCCTGTAACAAGGAAATGTTTATACTTATTGTTTCATTAGTGCCTTTTTTGTCATTTTATTGCCACTTTATTGCCACCTTATTGCTACCTCACATAATTTATCAATATGAATATAGCAGCAATATGCTTGTGTACTTCTTTTTTTGGCACCTGCTGCAGGTCAGTGATGTACCATCAGTTTCGCTTATCCTTTTTTTTTAATTTATTTTTTGGCTAAGCAGTTTTGCAATTGCAGTATCAGTCTTAGTCTTTTCTGTGGCTGTAACAATGTAATTGTTTCACAGTCCTCTTTCTGCCATGTTTTTTGTTATTTCTTTATATCATGTATTGTGCAACTTTGGTAATTGTTTGTTATTTTAGTTTCAACCTACATCATTTACGCTGTTGAGGAATTTTATTTCATTTATTTCAAAACACTCCATGTCATTTCCATGACATGGAGTTTTTTATTCCATGGCCACAAATATCGTGTAGTGCAGTTTCAACTAATTTAATGAGAAATTCACTTTACCTGACATTTTCTCTGAGTTTCTTCACAAGCTGGACATTGACATCAGCTTCTAGTAGAGCTGCACAGATCTCTTTGAGCATAGCACCAAGGACCTGTTGATTACAAAAAATCAATGCTCTGATCCTTTAACTCCCAGGATCTTATAAGTAACTCTCCTTACTGTATGTTGTACAATTCGTATGATGTTAGTTTAGAGAATTTGTAATTGGATCAACTAATAATCCCCTAATTGATATTTTTCTTTGTTCTCATCACTTGTTTGCTTGATATTATACTGATCGTGTAAGGAGAAATTCTGTCTAGGTCACTAGTGGGACTTAATGGGTTAAATCCACACTAAAATCATTGACCCTTTAACTGCCATGAGTGACCAGAACAGAATTTCTCCTAATTAAAAATATTGATTAGGAGATCATTTGTTGATCCAATACCAAATTCATAGAACTAACATTATAAGAGATGTGTAGGAGACACTTGGGAAAATTGCTATTGAGATCTAAGGTATGAAAGGGTTAACAGAATACAATTTTGGTGGTCAAAACCAAGTTAACATATGTACTCATCATACCTAAAACTCGGCACCCTTAATATCTTCTTGTACTAATTAATGCATGAGTGATTTACTCCACCATAAAATTGGACCGGTACAAGTGAAGAAAAAAAAGTCAAACGGATGCAGGTATGCGCTAAGGATTTAGTGTTACACTTCCCGAATCAACTTTGTATATTCTTTCGTCTTAAAACATAAGAGGCTTTCAATTTTCGGTTCCAATTTGTCATGAATTTCAAACTTAAACACACATCAACAAGAAGATACATCCCGTTCAGATGACAGGGATGATTTTATCAATTTCTTGTCCTGATCTTAGTAGGACTTATGTTAAAATCTGCCTTCAGGCCCGAAATTTTGGCTGCTACTACCAACACTATAGAGAGCCTTAAATAATGAACAGGAATCTCGTGATTACATGTGAGTGCATCATCGAGGTAGTTTCTCTTACCTCTTCATTGATGATGGTTGCATTGCTCAAGGAGCGGAGCGCTGTGGTGATTTTCCGTCCTAAATCCGCGAGAACCATTTTGAAGAGATAAGGTATCTAACAGTACCTTTTTTTAAATCGTCAACAGACACAAGAACACGAAATTGGGCCCAATTTGAACTTATATCAACGTAGTGCTGGTCGCCATCTTTTGTTCCTTGTTTATTCTCGAGTACAGCGGTTATTAACATAACGATAACGATACGTCACAAGTCCCCTTTCCTCCTCGGACAAAACAGCTGTAGGAAAAGCAGTAGCTTGGCACTAGTAAACATGGCATCCATTTCTTCAAGTTGTGCATTTTGTTCTACAGGAAACACAAATTTATCAAAGTGTTCTAGGTGTAGATCTGTAGTCTACTGCAGTAAGGATTGCCAAAAGTCGCACTGGAAAGCTCACAAGCCAAATTGCAAACCGCCTCTCAAAACAATACCAGCTAAGGAGAAACCGAAGTTTCCACAGCCTGACAGAAAAGATTTGGAAAGCATTGCAAGATTTGCATGTAGCGCTTTGAAAGAAACGTATTTCAGCGTCATCGACGACGTTTTTGAGGACGAGAAAGCGCTGGATATTTTTAACGAGGTGATACAGTTGCATAACTCAGGTGTTTTTCAAGACGGGCAACTCAGCGGTGGTAACACGGCCTCCGATAAAGAGCAGAAATTCACTGAGAAAAGGATTCGAGGGGACAAAATTACTTGGTTAGAGGGCAACGAGAAAAATTCGCCAAATATCGTGAAACTCATAGATTTTGTGGACACATTAGTGATACATTGCAATAATCTTCCCGATGGGATACAAGAGTATCGCATTGAGGGACGCGCCAAGGCTATGGTGGCATGTTACCCTGGTAACGGAACGGGGTACTCACGGCATGTTGACAATCCGGACGGGGATGGGAGGTGTCTCACCGTCATCTACTATCTCAACCAGGGGTGGGGTGAGGAAAATGGGGGTAAGTTAAGGATTTACAGGGAAGATGGCCATGTTGATGTGGAACCATTTCTCAATAGATTGCTAATGTTTTGGTCGGATAAGCGCAATCCACACGAGGTATTACCCGCTTATAGCACAAGGTATGCTATAACTATTTGGTATTTTGATGCTGAGGAGAGACGGAGAGCGAAGCAGCTTCACCGATACAACGTTATGGGTGGTTTAGAAGCAGAATTTGCTTTGAGAGATGTGGAGGTCAAGAGGAAAGAGAGAGACTTGGCTGAGGCGAAGCTAAGGGAAGAATCAGAGAAAATGGTGAAGAATTTGTTGTCTGAACAAGACTTAGAAGCGCTTTCTGGGCTAATTAAACACCATCCTAATCCGTATGAAGTGCTTAGTGGTCTGGGTATACATCAGAGTGTACGAGAAGCTGTGCTGAAGCTGCTGAAAGAACGTTGAGTAAACGTGACTTTCGGTTTTGCAGGGACGTGTTGCTGGCTCTCTCGCTGTCACGCAACGCTATGGCGGTTCCTGAAAAAGTAATGCATGTTTGCGCATACTCTGGAAATTTCCAAACCACGTTTTTAGGCAAGAAAAAAATGATTGAGGCTGAGTTAAAATTAGGTTCCTACGCTCAAAAAAATATCCTGCGCTCCAGAAAACTGTAAAAAGGCAGTGAGCAAGCTAAAGAGGAGAGATTAGAATTGGCTGTTTGAAAAAAGTCAAAGAAAGTGGAAAACAATAGAAGGTATTGACTAATATGCACTTCAGATAAAAAAAATAATAAAAAAAAAACTTTAAGACTTGTGAATAACACTGTGTTTGCATTTTGTTCCCAAATATATTTTTTAGCGTCAGGCCAGAAAGTTTTACCATCTTTTTCCGGGGTGGAATGGGAAATATTAAGTGCGAGAGGAGAATGCAGCTCAAACTCACACCGTTTACGAAGTCGTCAAAGAAAATTAATTAGTGCATATAACCCGCAGTAATTATGATAATCTATTCGATGTAATCCTCTCTGTAAAGCGTAGTTAAACATAATGCCTGGTTTTAACCAGATTATTCGTTATCTTGTTTTAATAATTATCATCCTCAACTTAATTTTCTTCATCAGTTAGCTCTGTCTCGGGAGAATCACAAAGAAGTACTTCAATTTCTTGTAGAGCAACACGCGAGCCGGGCATCGCTCGGCCTGACAAAAACTCTTTGCACTTTTTTGCTGCTGATTTTCCTTGCAAAGCTTTAAACAGAAAACAAGCTTGTTCTTCAGTAATAGTCCCGCACTTTTCGCGGTCCAGCATTTCAAATTCCCACTCCACATCACGTATTAGAAAACTGCGGCGGTCAATTTCGTTGAGTACGTCCAAAACTTCTTCCTTAAAACACAGGTCGCAGAAACAGACTGCCTGTATCGCCGCTTGTACTTGACGCAGGCTTATTGAATTTTCAGGTCGAAGGTTGTGATAAAGTTTCTGTATTTCTGTGGCGGTAATTTCGTCCAATATTTTCCCTTCATTTTCCAAGTAAGTCGACAACAAGCTTTCAAATTTTTCGTCGTGCGAAGAAACAGCCATAATTTACTCTACTTGCCTCGCTGTGAGGAATATTCGAATTTATAGTTCTGTAGTGAAGAAAACACCTGTATTTGTCTTTGGATTCAAACCCGGCTCAGTAATTTAAGTGTTAAGCGTTTTTCGTACGTAAATGAATTTATCAAAGCTTAAGGAGCCATCACCTATCTTCAACTTGATAGCGTATCGATGCGTTTTTTTGTTTCTCTTGTAAGATATATCATCAAGTTTCTTTATGACACGTACGGTTTAGTAATTTGAATAAATAAGCTCTCATTAGTTTTGGCAGGGGCTGATGGAGTTACAATATTTATAAAGCAAACATCTGCCTTTTTTAATTGTTCAGCGACAACACACCAACCAGATATAGAATCGTTCAAGCCAGTAGTTAGCGCATCGCATCGAGTCATTTACACATTTTAATAAGGAGAGCAATTTACAACTCCATCTCGTTTTACATATTTCATTTAAAATTCCATGTTGCAGCGAAATAATCAATTTTGGGATTACTTTCTCCGTAGGTATGAGAAAGTCAGGGAAACAAAAATAATCGTAAGGCTTTTCATCGCTCCAATATTGCCCTTAAAAATGTGTCAATTTGACAGTGACAGGTTCAGTTTAGGTGATGAAACTTTGGTAAAAAGAAAATGCCAGAAAAATATTTCCTATCCGGTCGAGAGCTTTCCAAAAGTTTTGTCATGCGCAAAAAACATAATTAATTATAACACCTTTCCAAAACCTCCGACTAAATTGGGTTCAAACACGAAAATTATATCCACTTATTTTTTTCTTGGCTCAAAGTGGTAGCGGATCGCTTGTAGTATTTTTTCACTCTTAAAAAATCTTTAAAAAATTTTGTGACGGTCAGAGTTTTCGTTTAGTTAAAGCTGGGGAATCATGGCTCCCTCTAAAAGATCGATAAACTTCGTCAAAACTTGCTTTGTCAGAGAGAAGCGAGAACGAGTTTACAGGGTTTTTGTTTTCAAGTTA